TCAATATTATTATACTTTTTTACTAATATTATTTTTTTTTTTAATAATTTCCATAACTTTTTTCAATTAAAAATAGACACTCCTTTTCTTACTTTAACAAAATTAATTTGTGCGTATTTGAAAAAATTTGTCCTTGAAATTTTTGTATTCTCACTTCACAAATCACTTACATGATTCTATTCTTGTAAATATTTTGACGAATTCCACCGCCGCTGTCACAACTAGAGATGAATCTATTGTTGTTGTAAATTGATGACGAATTCCACAGCTGCTGTCACAACCAGAGCTGCCGATTTGGTTTTTTTTTTTTAATTAAATTGTTTTTCATGATCAACGTTTATATTGTCTTTTAAAACCGATTTATCGCGCTTTATTTTTCATTATTGGGCTTTTTAGTTTGGGCGCCAATTAGTGAATTTATGTCTGCAACTTTGGAGTTGCCAGTGCCTGCAGAGACGCCGTCGCTGCCGCAGAGCCACCGCCGCCGCTTTCGCAAAAGTGCAGCGTTAGCGCCTCGTGTGCGATATCGGATGACCGCACACGCTTACATATACGAGGCGGGCACCGTTGCTGCCCATCTGCACAGCTGCACTTTAGGGTCAACGGCCCAGTTGTAGGCCAAGGGCATGAGCAAGGGCACCCCATCCGCTCTCGTCCTAATCTCTCTATGAGAAAATCGGTTGCCCAATCATGATCGCTCAATGGCGTTACCCCGCTCATCGCAGTGGATCGCAAGCCGGGCGTTGCCACTCTTCAATTAATTGAGCGCCGCTGCGTGCCTGGTTCCACCCTTGATACTCCGCTGATATGACAAAAAACGCAACCAACTAGGCAAACTATCGATGCTGCCACTAAAGTCAAATGCAACAAGGTCAGGGCATGGGTATCTTTTTAAATCGGAACCAAACTCAATTGGCTATGTCGACTCAACTTTTGATGCTTATCAATAATATATTCACTTTAGGGGTTTTGTTTTGAGATACCGTTTTTACATTTGCATAAAACCAAAATATCCGTTTTACTCAAATTTAATGACTTCAGTGTATAATAGGATTGAAGAATTCAGCAATGGTCCGTTTGTCTGTAGAACTATTAAATAGGCCCATTTATATCACGTTACTGAAAAGCTTGTCGTTTTTTTATTAAAAGTGCATCTAGATGACAATTGGCTTAGCGGTCAACCAGGCATTAACATAACATACAGCCAGCGCAAACAATTGTAGAAAGATATTACCAGATATGTAAAAGTGTAATCAAATGTTTCTCTAGGCTTAAGCATTCTGAAATCAATCGATGAACTGAGAAAAACGCGAAGACACATTTGTTTATTTTTTAAGTTTTCTATGTTCGGAAGATGCCATTCACTTAATTATGTACACATATGTGTGTAGATTTGACAATGCTAGCTATTCGTCACGCATAAGCCAAATATATATTTTTTTTATATTCGAGCTTAACTTACTGCAGACTCCACACGTCCATCAAGTTTTGTGATCCAATAATTTGATATTCTTACCGACAGTACCTTGACAATGTTGGAAATCATTCACATTAATATCGATAACTTTCAAAAACTACCTGAACTTCCATCGATAGTATAAATATTGCATACATTTCAGTAATTGTTTGTGTTGTGTCAAAGGGAAATTAAGTAAGCAGAAGATAACAGACCATGGCAGGGATAATAAGTCCAAGCTGTGGAAACCAGCCAACTATTGATTGTTTTGGACAACTAAACGATGATCAACTATTTGGTATTTTTATGAATTTTTCGACAAGCCTGGATGTTTTGGAAAAGGATTTGCACTATGCTATTAGAACACACAATTTTCGGTCCTTGTCCACTGAAGATCAGGTGAAAGTTGACACTTTCTTGGTTTATGTGAACAGTACGTTGTTTTGGATGTACCTCAAACTACAGGGATATGATTTGTCGAAGGTATAAAATATTTATGGTTACAAATTTTATCACTTGATACAATAATCAGACTAGTATATTCAACTTAACAATGACTTAGAATTCATGCAGTGAGTAACAAGAATATAGAGTCGACGTTTCGCTCCGAGCTTTTATTAAAATTTATATTTAATACTTGGAGTTGGTTTGCAAAGTCAAACGAAAACTCAACTGCCCGTAGCAAACAACACCAAATCACGTACATAACAAGAAAAAGAGTCTCTTGTCGGGAGTTCCCGACTAGGGAATACCCAACAACACCAAATCCAACAAACATGAAATCCAACCAGCACCAAATGCGGCTCGCCCTACGAGCTCGATTGCTATAGCAGTAATAAAAAGTAATTTAAAAAAACAAAATTCCCTCAATAGGACTTGGACCTGGAATAGACTGCTATTCTCGCTACCACCTCTACTCGACAGCCTTAAAAAGAATTTATTCTCGATGAGAAAAAAAAAACGAATTAAAATATCAGTACAATTCAATCGAATTTTGAATGCTGTTTATAGAATTTAATAAAGACGCGCATGAATATGTGTGCACATGAACACAGAAATTCTTGCAACTTGCGCTATGTAAATGTAAACACACGTTTTCTTTAATAACTTTTGTGTTTCCTTACCGATCTTGATGAAATTTGCAGCAGTAGATCTTATTGTGCCATAGAATATTTATACATATATACATATATCATCAAAACGACATTTACAGTAAAATTGTGAGTGTTTAGTTCCAGTCGATTTATTTATTTGATTTATAGCTGTGCTGCGGGGGGTGACGATAGCTATAAAATAAAAGATACTTGACCTGTATATACTATTCTATAGATGTCAAGTTTGATGACTGTAGCTCTTAAAACCTAACAGATTTGCTCAAGAAACATGATTTCGATATCGTTTCTTATCGATTGCTTAGAAACGGAGCAAAGAAACTCGTAATGCGCGGCCACTATAAGGACCTTCGATCAAACTGTCTTTATCTTCTTCTTGTATGTTCTGAGAACCTTGCGTTCATAGATGTGGACAGACAGATGGACATTGCTAGATCGACTCGGCTATTGATGCTGATCAAGAATATATATACTTCATGTGGTCGGAGATGCTTCCTTCTGCCTGTTACATCAATTTGCACGCTTTTTACCCGATGGGTTCAAGGTATAAAGGCAATTAGTTATGTGCGACCAAATGCGCAAACCACGCTGAGGCAGCGCTGCTTTTTTGGTTGCGCCACAATATTGGAAATTTTATGAGGAATAACATGTTTTTTGTCCAATCTTCATGCAATTTAAGGATAATAAATATGGTATTCAAATGTGTGTATACACAAAATTAATTTGCTCTAACTTTAAAAGTTAATTTTCAAGTTTGGGAAAATGGGAGGTTTCCAAATGTACAATATTCTTGATCAGTGTATTATACTATTCGAAAGTAACATTCACTGTTTGTCTCGGTTCGGTGAGGTTGCACAGTCGAATCTCGGTGCCTGTGCATAGAAAACTTATATACCAAAAGCGTATAAAAACATAACATATGTATTTCAAACTTGAAATTAAGTTTTGCCTTAATTGTCTTAATTTTGGGCAACAGAAGAAGCCGCATAAAGTGGCGGGAGTGCAAGACTATGAGATCATAGCTTCAATCTACACACATTCAGCTAGCCGTTCCTATGAAATTACAAATTAAACAAAATTAAAAACATTTGTTGGCTGGCTCGAGGTCCGTGTTTGTTAAAACAAACAATGTAAACAATTTTATTTAATATATGTAAAATAATTGCCTTGAAGACAGTTTGCCGATGTGCAACCGAAATATATCGGAAGATAATATTAAATAAAATTGTTTTCATTGTTTGTTTTAACAAACACGGACCTCGAGCCAGCCAACAAATATTTTGAAATATGGAAAGGTCGCCAGAGCCATCAACAAAATTAAAAACTAGAAGCCTTATCAGAATACAAATACTTTTATTATCATCGACACGATGGAGGTATTTTATTCGCCCTTACGGCCAGCTATGCCATTTTTCACAGCTAAATTTGTCAGCGACGTTATTGGAGGCTTCAACTAAGAAGAAAGTTATTAATAGTGAATAAAGATTTCTTACATAAAGTAGTCTTATGTACCTTTTTTTGTATACCCTGCACCTACTAAAAATTAGTAAAAGGGGTATAATGTTTTTGTGAAAATGTATGTAAGAGACAGAAGTATCTCCGACCCCATAAAGTATATATATTCTTGATCAGCATCAATAGCCAAGTCGATCTAGTCTGTCCGTCCAAGTTATCGATATCGAAATCCTGTTTTTTGAGCAAATTTTGTAAGTTATAAGAGCTAGAGTCACCAATCTTGACATGTAGCTTCTAGAATAGTATATATAAATAGTTTAAGTAAATAAACCAATTAGTATTGCCACCAATTTAATCCAAAATTTTATTGCAACTGACTTTTTCTGAATATATAGTCTATATCACAATAAGATCTACTGTTGAAAATTTCATCAAGATCGGTTAAGAATCACAAAAGCTATTAAAGAAAGTGTGTGGGTATATATATGTACATATATTGGCAGCACACGTGTCAGCGGCAGCTAGCGCACATTGCAAGAATTTCTATATACATGTACACACACATATACATTCTCGAATGTATTGTTATCTGTGCTGAGTGTATATGCTGCTATTTTAATTGTTTTTTTTTTTTTAGTAGTGAACAGTTGGGTAGAGACGGCGGCAAGTAGCGTGGTCTGTTACTAGTTCGAGTCCTATCTAGGGAACTTTATTTTTTTTAAATTTATTTTTATTACTGCTAAAGCAATCGAGCATCTGGCGCGAGCTGCTTTCGGTGTTGGTAGAAGAGGGTTTACGATATACCCTAGTCGGTAACTCCCGGCTAGAGCCTCTTACTTGTGGAATTTAAATAAGTTAGAAAAGAGGCATTAAAAATTTTTGAAAAAAGTAAAGGAATTTGTAACAGAGTTGGGATATCAACAACCCTGTGAGCGAAATTTATAGCATGTCCGGCAGGCTATCCCATACTCATAGCTTGAAATGGTCGGTGAGCTCCCCTTATTGGAGGTAGAGAGACTGCTCTATATAATACACGAAATGAGTTGTGGAATGTGTGCACGGATGTCGAAGTAAAAGGCGTCTTGTGGGTCTGCAGGAAGCAGAGAATTGCAGACGTCCCAACAGAAAAGGAGAATAAATATCGACAATAATTACTACCTTATGTAGAAAGACAACGCCGAGGATTGTCCTACGGATGGCTGAAGAGGGAAGATTAGGTAGAAGAAGCCTGCCAGGGTGGCAGAAGATTGCGGTCCAAGTTTAAACCTCGTAAGGCTAAAATGGAAATTGATATTGATCTGATTCAATTCGATCCTATTATTATATTGCGGAGTCCAGAGCAGTACTCGAGTATAGCACGTGATGTACAGACTTTTGGTTACGAAGGGATCGTTAAACACCTTAGCCCAACGTTTATGAAACCAAGAACACCATAGGCCGAGCTTAGAATAAAAAATTACCCCTAGATCCTTAACTATTAGAACATTTTACAACGGACTTTTGTCTATCGTATAGCCAACACGATAAGGCCTAGTACGATTAAAGGTCATAAACATACACTTTGAACAATTCAGATGCAATTGATTGGTCGAACACCAGAGATTCAAAGAGTTCATGTTTTGTTTATGTTACATGTGAATTGATTTTAAAAAATCTGGGAGGCTTAGAAGTAGCAGACAATGGCATTGAATGGGAAATACATTTATATAAAAGGGAATTAAGAGTGTTATAAAAAAATTTAGAGCAGTATTCATATCAACGTAATATAAGAAAGACCAATCAATTGCATGAATACCTTGATTGATCAAGGAATAGTGTTCTTTGCGAAAGCAACGGCGGGGCTTGTTGGCCACTAATGAATAATGACAATAAGATCAAGTGTTCTATTCAATAGGGTATAGGGTAATTATTGGCGGTGAATAAAGACCAAGAGAGGTTCGGTAAAGTCACCCAACACGATAAGAAGGTAATAATCACGCACATGAGAAGAAACTTCTTTAATACAAGTAATATGTTTTATGTAAACTGGAATGTCGGAAGAAGGTGGTATAGATGAGCAGGTCATATAAATAGCGCGTAAAGGGAAAACAACTTTAACTGAGACAGTCTCAGCATCAGTAGGCGCAGTAAAACAAAAAGGTTCAGAATGGAGAGTGGATTTAACGGTTATTCGAAAAAAGTACACAATAAAATATGGTTGAATGTTAAATTTATTGTTAAAATTAATTTATATTAATGTTATTTGTTTTTTGTCTCTTGGTGCCCTGAAGACGGTTGCCGATGCGCAGCCGAATATCGGATAAATATAGATAAAAACCAAATTTGTTTTTTATTTTTATTTTTACTAAACTAAACCCTGGCCCCGAGCCAGCTAAATGCAAATTTAATTATAGTTTGTTTAAAAAAATTGTTTAATCATTGATAACTTTCCCTAGCACTACATTTTACACGATTTGGCTCGAGCAAGAGAAATGCTAGCACGCGAAAAGCAAACGAACGGTTCGAAAACAGCACCACGCCTAGACATAGCAGCAAGTAAACGGTTTATTGCTGCAGGAATGCACACACGATTTGTAGATATGGAAGGCGTCATGGTAACCGAAGCCCAATACAAGCGTAGCCTGACGGAGGCATGCGGCTCCAGTCAATAAAACAATCTGAACTTGGAACATGAAAATTGTAAAATAAAAAATATGTTTAAGTTACACATAAGTTAACCCCGTAAAAAAACAGGGTTGACTCTTAAATGGTCTTACAGACAATATACACATATATTTCGATATTTTTACGCAGGCATATTTTACTACATAAATTATAATTGCGGATAGGTTGCAAAATGGATTTAGAAACAAAAAACGCGGAATGAAATCTAATATGTTCGAATTGTTTGCATTTATGTCCGGGCATGGACTTTTCTACCGCATACAGAGCAACGAAAATGCTATTGAAATGTTAAAATAATAAGTAAATTAATCTATACCGACCCTTATTTAATTAATAATGCAAAGGGGAGTCAATACGGTCTATTGTACCTAGTGCTCCCTAATGACCAAGAGTTGCTCGACTTTCCCTATGAAGAAAGCTATTTAATCTTGAGGCTTTGTTTGCAAGCTCCTGCAATTTCCGCATTCTCTTCTGAAGCTTGTTTACCTCTAAAAATTTCGGCGCCTAACACTCTGACTTTGATCACAGGTCGTCGAAGGATGGTTTGCCTGATAATATTCTCGTTTATTTACAAGACAATGGAGGAGGTCGTTTGGCAAATCACTTCCCGTGCCACGCAAGGTCATGCACGCTTTGTCTGTCTTCCGTCTTTGGCACGTTACCGCTTTCGGTGGTGCATCTTCAACCCCATAAAGTATATATATTCTTGATCAGGATCACAAGCACGAGTCGAAATTTTAGCTGTAGGTCCTCCTAGTGCCCACGCAGATCGACTTTATTTCCGATATTCGATAACTTGCCCCGTTTCCAAGTAATCGATAAAAATCGATATCGAAATCCTGTTTTTTTTTTTACCAATTTTGGTAAATAATAAGCGCTAGAGTCACCAAACTTGTCATGTAGCTTTTAGAATAGTATATATATATCAAGCATTTTTCATTTTATAGCTATCACCTCGCTATTACCACATAACATAGCTATAAATCAATTAAAAACAAATTTGTATTGCCCTCTAATTTAATTGATAATTTGAATGAAATTGCCTTTTTAAGAATATACGAATATTCTATAGCACAATAAGCTCTTTTGAAAATTTCATCAGTGTGGTCTCTTACGAGTTCAACAGTTGTTTTTTTTAATTTATTTATATTACTGCTAAAGCAAACGAGCGCGAAGCGAGAGCTGAATTTGGTGTTGGTAGAAGAGGGTTCAGGCTTTTCCCTAGTCGGGAGCTCCCGCCTAGAGCCTCTTATTTTTTTTTTATTATAAACGTCCTTTGTTTTAACCGACTGCTCGCAAGTCTTACGCATGCCGTATTAAAACTGTTTGTAACTCGCACGCATATCGTTGCTCGCAGAGGCATTGTTCAAAGCGAGCCACTATATGAATGCCATTCACTTGGTTCACGTATTGTATGGTGCCTTGGCAGTCCCACACCCACTAGGTAACCTATCGCTGGTTTGTTTGATGGGATTTACGAACCGTAGTCTCATGGTAGGAGCTGAGAGGCACACGTTGTAACTGATCAGTAGTTAGCTCTACCTCTCTACAAGAATTGAGTTTGACGTTGAGCTAGTCAGATTGAAGGCTTCAAAATCTTTGAAAAGATCACAGTTCGAATGTGCGCATAACCTCTGTTAGTGTCAATAGTAAATCCGTTGTGGAATATTCTATCTTATGGTAGTGGCTTGCTTAAACATTGGCCACTGACCAGTAGCGGCGTGTGCTGCCATAGGCTTGATCATAATGTGGGACCACCAGTTTATCTTTTTGGAGTCTCCACGTCTTACCAAAGAACTTAGGCTAATAAACCATCCATATATTTAGTTAATATATTGTCTAGATTGTGAGTCTTTTATCCAGAATTACTACTGAAAGCAACGCTGATAAAGATTAGACCAATATTAATAAGGTACTATTTAGAAAAGAGCAGAGCATTCGCCATCAGTTACTTAATGTTTAGACTTTGGTGGCAAGCCCCTGTAGTTTCAGTATTCTCTTCTGGAGCTTGTTTACCTCTTATACTTCTGACGCCTAGCATCCCGACTTACACTTACAGGACGATGTCGCCGATGAAGGTAGGTGGCCGTTTAGCAAATCATTTACGTGTTCTCGCACCCAACATGGCCAGAATTTAGTGGCGAACAGTTGTCTGTCTTCCGTCACTGGCACCAAAAATAGGCCGAGCATCTTTTCAGCAGCTGCGACGTTACCTCTTTCGGTGATGCTTGCGCTGTATCTTTTTGGAATTAGCTGCATGTATGCTTTTTACCTGAATAATACGGCTACCACCTGTTCGTTGTTGAGTTGCTAATGTTTTTTAGCAACTGTTTTGAAACTTTAGCCAAAAATTAAAGTCAATTTTGGCTTTTTACAACAACACGTTATAATAATTTTATCCAGCGAATTTAAATTTGTTATAAGATTATTTGGCTGTGGCTCAGAACTATTTCTTCGCTTCGCCTCGATCAACAGCGAAAGAACAAGTGGGTGAGATAAAGAAGATTTGTATAGCAGCTGCGACAAGCGCAAGAGAGGCTTGCCAACCTTGATTACAACATACAGCTGTTTTACTAATCCAGGTCTGCGACCTCTTTTTATGATTACATGAATATTTGCTTGTGCTAATTTGATGCGGTTGCTGCAGAATCCAATATACTTCCCCAGTTGGAAGCCTGACTTTCAACAGTATCCTTAAGGGGCAGTAGACACAGCTTGTTTACGGCTCTTCGAATGATTCCAGCCGTGGTCCTCAGATCAGCTACACGAGAAACTCCATCCTTCCCATGAATCAGGTTTAGGACCATACCTAGCGACACCGCATGGGAGAAAGATTTTCGTCTTTGACGAGCACCATGTCATTGACGCACAACGCTTGTCTTTGAGCACGCCATTTAGCTCGCTGTTGTAGTTAAGTGAGGTACTCTTCACGCCATCGAGCCCAGAACACCTGTTGTAGCTGTGCACCACGCTGCCAGAAGGTCTAATCTCTAATCCAGGATAGCACCACGGGCGAATCGCATCAGCAATAGTGCACTTGACTTCATGCATCATTAGCCAACAGCGTCGCTCCACATAATTCCAGCTTCGGGACAGTCAATGTTTTTAACGTCGCAGCTTGAGACTTGGAGCAAAAGATACGATTTGTGGCTAGAGGACTTCTGGCCACCACATAGATGCAGGCTCCATTGGCCTCCACACTGGGATTGCAAAATCCAATGATTTCAACTTCGCCTTTTTCGAAAAACACCACTCTTAGAAACGAGACATGGCGAATGTTCCGAAAGATGCTGCATAGCTCCCTCCAGGCTGTATCACGTGCAATCGGCAGGCTTTCATCCCAAGTCAATTGGTCCTTACAAAGGTGATAAAGAAATATGTTTGCTTTAGTTATGACTGGTCCCAAAAGTCCAAGCGGATCACAAAACTGGGCATCAATAGACAGAACTGAGCGCCTGCAGGGTTAAAGAGTGGGATCTAGAATAGAAAATGAAAATAGCAATTGGTCGATCGCTGGATTCCATACAAGATAGGTTCCCTATCTTCATCAGCTATTCCATCGAGGACTTCTTGGTGACTGGAACACCACTTTCGAGGCTTGAAATTCCCTTGGAGACAATATGCCGGCTGTCTGACGAATTTTCTCTCTGGTTCAGCAACTGATTCCAGATATGAAATCGTCAACGAAGAACTCCTGCTTGATGGCATCCGATCTAATTGGAAATGCATTACACTCATCAATGGCCAACTGGTGCACTGCTACTGACTGAAATGATGCTGATTTGGTCCCATATGTCATTGAATCCAATTTAAAAATTTCAATGTCCTTCAGAGACTCTCGCACTGAATACTCGCCGGATGGTAAGCGGGAGAAGTTATTGGCAAAGTTCTGCTCACATTCCAACTCTTCCTTGCTGGCTATGACCACAGGCTATTCCAACCTTTCAACTTCCCGAAAACGCTGAACCAAAACATCCACACCAACGTCCAACTGGCCAGCATCGCTATCAGGACCAGCATCGCTATGCGGATGTGACCGTTTTATTATACCCTGAACCCATTGAAAGTGGGTATATATTGCACATATATGTGCAAAGGTATGTAACAGGCAGAAGGAAGCATCTCCGACCCTATAAAGTATATATATTCTTCATCAGCATCACAAGCCGAGTCGATCTACCCATGTCCGTCCGTCTGTCCGTATGTATGAACGGAAGGATCTCAGAACCTATAAAAGCTAGAGACTTGAAATTTGAGACGTAGGTCCTCCTAGTGCCCGCGCAGATCGAGTTTGTTTCCGATATTCGATAACTTGCCCCGTTTCCAAGTAATCGATAATCTATCGAAATCCTGTTTTTTGAGCAATTTTGGTAAATAATACGAGCTAGGGTCACCAAAAATGACATGAAGCTTCTAGAATAGTATATATATATATCAAGCATCTTTCATTTTATAGCTATCGCCTCCTCGCTACTACCTCATAGCTATAAATCAAGTAAATAAACCAATTTATGCTGCCCATCAACATAAGCCTCAATTGAAATGCAATTGTCATTTTGAGAATACACGAATATTTTATACAACAATACAGCTAAAAATTTTTCCAAGATCGGTTAAGAAACACAAAAGAAAATGTGTTCTGACTGCCCACGTGTTGCGGCAGCTAGCGCAAATTCCAAGAATTTCTGTATACATGTACACACACACTTACATGAGCGTCTTTATTGAATTCTTTCAACAGCATTACAATTGCGATTCTATTCTCTTCTGTGCTGCTATTTTAATTTGTTTTTTTCTTATTTGGACTCAATAATTGGTGTGGCTGTTGGGTAGAAGCGGCGGCAAGTAGTGCGGTCTGTTGCGAGTTCGAGACCTGCCAAGGAAACTTTTTTTTTTTGGCTGGTGGTGCTGTTGGGGTGGTGGCAAGAAGTGTGGTCTGTTGCGTGTTCGAGTCCTATTAAGGCATCGATTTTTTTTTATACCCTAAAACCATAAAAAATGGTCAAAAGCCATTTTTAAGAATATACGAATATTCTATAGCACACTAAGTTCTACTGAAAATTTAATCAAAATCGGTTAAGAAACACAAAGAAAACGTGTTTTAGATGGGCTCGTGCTTGCGGC